AACTGACGACATATTACATTCAAAGTGCTTAGGAATAGCAGCCCTTTATAAATAGGGATGTGCCGATACTAGTATCTAGTATACCGATACCGAGTGTTCGCCCAAATGCTCCAATACTTGCCCCCGATACCGGAACTTCCGGTCACATGGAGATCTGCAAGACTGAAGGCTAGATTCGGGTTCAGCTTTGACAACATACATTCCCCAGAATACAATGTGTGCTTTAGTGGGCCTTTAATAGGTGCTCTGAATTCAAGTAAGAGTTGGTGACAGGTACACTTAAAAGGTGCACGTTAAAGGTACACGTGGACAACAGATGGTTGTTGGCTGCTCTATTTCATGTTGGGTTATCTCTGCCGTAGCTCCCCTGAGATAAGGTCGGTTCTGGAGAGTTTTGCTTGGGGCATAGACATACACCCTTAGATGGTGTGGGTGGCACGGCTATGAGGCATGTGTCTATTAAAAGAAAAATGTGCACAGGAGATGAACACTATCTTGTGAACTGTTGCCACCTATATAAGCCTTTTATTTTGCATTTAATAGTGGGCAGTTACCCACACGGTATCCATGGCATTTGACAAACGTGATGATTAACCGATTAATCGAACCTAATAATCGGCTAACTAATCGATTTTTAAAATAATCGTTAGCTGCAGCTCTAGTGAGCGCTAAACAATTATAATGCTGATCAGAAGAGACTGTTAGAAAAACATCTCAGAATTGCAGACGAAGGTGGTTAAATGTTGGAATCCCAAGCTGGGTCAATTCCAAGGCCACGATATTCAGGAAACCACTAGAAGGAAGAGGATCCTTTTTTAAAAATTGTTTTATTCCACAACACGATCCAAAAATTTCACAGAAAAAAGAAAAAGGGCGTAATATTTCAAATCACTCCAAAAGAGTGGAAGAAACAAGGAAAAATACCAATTTCATTATATATACTGTACATATAAACCATATCTAACCCCAATAAAGTGCTTAACAATTAATCCATTTTAAAATTATTATACAATTCATCCAAAACTACTACTTCATAAAAATATATAGTAAAATAGCCTTTATAATCTTGTATCTGAAATATATAGGAATTATAACACTACTCATATTTAAACAATCCTCTTCCTATAGTATCATTATTAACTACTAGTCAAGTGCCTTTCAATCAAAAATATTCAATAACGTGAATCATTAATCATCAGTTTTATATTTCCTTCATATATTCAATCACTGATTCATAATTATATAAAAAGAAAGGGTGTATCGTACGTGTCTGAATGTGATCACAAAACCAAAAATCCCCTTTAATTCTATAAATAGTGTCATCCTTCCTTCTCTCTCCCCTCCCTTCTTCCCAGAAGGAGGATCTTTAGAGCTGTAGATATATTACAGTAATTAAATTATCTAAAAAGTTACTTTGAAGGGCCCGTCCACCGAAAACCAATATTTCATTGTTGATGTTGAAGAGTTAAACCACCTCATATTTCTTTTTATGTGCAAGGGACTCTATTGGTGAGATCTCTCTGCTCTGAGGTCCCAGGCCTGCACAGGTACTGTGCTCAATTTAAGACTCTTCATCTTTGCTGGATTTTTAACATATTTTATATTATGGAGAATGTAACAGGAGTAGCTGGAGCACACAAATGCGGGTGGGAATAGCCAATAAAGTAGGAATAGCCAAATCTACCTAGCTGTTGAAAAGTATGCAATAAATAAACTATCCAGCTGGGTCAGCCCACCAAACTCTATCCCTAAAAAATGAACTTTTAATGGACTGACCCTTTAAAGGAGAACTATGAGGTGAGTGATTTTCTCTCATCCTCATAGTAAGAGCCGACTTGTGACAAAGAAGCTGTCAAACGTCGGATCTATTGATCGGGAAAAGAGCAGAAACCTGCCACCGATCTGCTGACTTCACAATCATCTCCCTGCAGTGAGCATTGACTGTCAGTCACCTCTTCCTGCAGGGATTCCTCCCCTACTGCTTAGTGGAGGAACAAATGGGGTAGGGGCGGGCACAGCTGGCTCCGCCTCTAGATAGGCCAGAGCCGCTTTCACTCACGCAGCTGGGTGGACCTCAACAGTATTGTCGGGATCCTTCCCGGCTGCTGCGCTCTCAGTATATTGTGGGCAATAGGCCGCTATATACTGAGCTTTGGGTCACAGGAGGAGGTTAGTATATGTCCTCCCGTGACCCTAAAGAGAACTATGGGGAAAAACACTTACCCCATTGTTCTCTTTTAAGGAAAACAGTAATAATGCAAAAATCACTGCATGGCCAAAAAAAAAAGTCGCCACCTTGATTTAGCTAAGCCAATAGGTAAACTTCAACTGGATAATTACTACAGTGATTAATATGTTTCTTATGTTTTGCCCCCCCAAATGAGATTAGCTGTCTCCCTGAATATAGTGAATGACCAGGTTTTTCCATCAATGGTTTTTTTTCTTCCCTGATGGCACATCGAACATATTCCAAGATGACAATGCCAGGATTCATCGGGCTCAGATTGTGAAAGAGAGGTCCAGGGAGCATGAGACATCATTGTCACACATGGATTGGCCACCACAGAGTCCAGACCTTAACCCCATTGAGAATCTTTGGGGTGTGCTGGAGAAGACTTTACGCAGTGGTCCGACTCTCCCATCATCACTACAAGATCTTGGTGAAATTTTAATGCAACTCTGGATGGAAATAAATGTTGCGACATTGCATAAGCTTATCGAAACGATGCCACAGAGAATGTGTGCCGCAATCAAAGCTAAAGGCGGTCCAGCGAAATATTAGAGTGCAAGATTTGTTTTTGGCCAGGCAGTGTATGTGTTTTGTTGACCTGTACTATATTTTCTTTTTATGATGGCATTGTTTTCTTGTTATTAATTGTAGACATGTATTCTGTCCTTGCAGGGAACACAAATAGAATTCCATATCGGGGCCCTTTTAGGAATTTCTACAATGGCAGGTAAGATAGCAATAGCATTGTTTGTTCTGTTCTACAGATGGATGTCTATATTTCGCAAAAATAAGTTACATTTGTTTGGCAAATTAAGTTTTGGCAAAAATTGATACACAAAAAAAAAGTTACATTTCAGATACATGCAGAGAGCACAACCTACCACTCCTCTTTGTCAGTGATTTGGAGATTCTGGAACACACAGAAAACCTGATAAAATAGGCAGAACTGGATGTTTGAGTGTGATCGGTGATGAAAGAGAGAAATATACAGCTTAAACTGCAGGAAGTACACTAGAAAGTTTGAGGACCCCTGCTTTAGGGTGTTGAATTGACATTGCCTTGTTGCATTGTTGAATTGACATAATTACATTTGATAAGCTTCAAGGACACCAGAAGTCACCACTCCAATTCCACCTCCGGCTGCTAATCAATGCATGTACCGGGTACAGGCCACAGTGTGCTCCCACTCCTCAAACGATACTTCTGCAATCAGCTGCACAAGACCGGTATCCATAAAATCCAAATTTATTGTAAATTCCATACAGGATCCAAGATTTAACATGTACAGCATATACACCACCACAAAATCACTCCCTCTGGAGGCGCTGGAGTGGGAGAGATCCTTTGGTGGTGTATATGCTCTACATGTTAAATCTTGGACCCTGTATGGAATTTACTACATTACATTTGATAAGCTTGATACATAGTTGTATACACATCAGAACAGAGCTCATCAATACTTTTACTGGACTTGGGGCTTTGCGGAGAAAGAAAACCGCTTTTTCTAGAATGGTGAGGAACAATTCCTTCGATCTGTCAAGGATTACTGCGACAAGGCACTGGAGACAGTAGTACAGCAGATGCTGGATAGCAGTTATAAATGAATCATTGTCTGATCTACGTTCTCACACTCTGGTGGCTGTGTTCTCTACTGAGATGACGGTCACATAAATCTAATCTCTCAAAGCAGAACTTGGTGCGTAGCAGGCTAAACTTGTGAAAATTCAGTTTTCATCCTTATAAGCAGGAAGACATTAGAAGACTATAGATGTGTCTTAGCTGTGATGTTGTCACCTCATAAAATGGATTGGTTACCAAAAACAATGGTTTAAAGGACCACTAAACCTGAAACAATGTGTGGTTTATGAGAACCAGCTACTTATGATATTTGCAAATATCACAACATTTCAGGATTTGTCAGAACTGAAAAACAAAGATAAGTCAACACAAAGGGAAGATATCATCAAACTGCCATACCAAATTAGACTCGGGCCAATTTTATACTTGAACCAGACCTCGATAGCAAAAAAAAAGTTCTTGCTGCCTGTGTCCCCACTGGGGAACATTTTTCTCTCTGCATTTCAAACGTGGGTGTAGTAAACCTTAAAGAAGAGTTAGGGGCTGCATTTGAGGCTCTTGGAATTAAACTGGTTGCCTACTGCCAGCCTACACAACACGTGAGCATAAAGAGTGAAATACTGCTCATAATGTGTTTTTTATGCTATTGTGTAATACTGGAATTGTATTCTTTTTTTGCATCTGAAATGCATAACTCTGGTTCATCTAATTCATTGTATTAATCTTCTCTTTTTCATGATGTATGTAATCTTGTATTGCTTCTGTCCTTTTCAGCTGCTGCTCTAGGAAACCTGGTTTCAGATCTTGCAGGCCTTGGGTATGTTTCTTTAATACATAAGTCACACAATAATTGTGCTATTGAATGCTGCTGCTAAGGACAATAATCTGTAAATAAGCGAGACATAGTATGCACTTTGGTTTACATGAAAAATCTAAGAAGCTTGTTCTTTATCATCCGTTGAGGGACACAGGAAGTCTTGGACTGTTGGGTTGTACTGCCATGCCTACAGGAGATGTTGGGCACTGGTATCAAAAAGCTTTTGGCCAGCACAGGGTAGACCCACCAACAACCATCATGTCACATTTTTTTGCTAGTGTCCTCAGGAGAGTGGTTGTTTTCTTCAGTTCTTCTGTTCTCTGTTTGGAAGATTTTTCTGCAATCAAAAGCTGCTGGTAGATGCATGCTGGATAAATGAAATCCGGGAACTTTCTTCATTACGCCAGTCAGTACTGGTAAACTCATCCCAGATATTTAAAATCATGGACGTTTCCCTGGTCAGCCGAATGCAGGCTTTTTGCGTTTTCTATACTGGTGTTCTCTCTGTGAAGTTATTGCACTCTTATTGGTGGCAAGGTCAGCCCAGTATTTGCCTGGGAATTCCTTGTTGAGTGTTGGGACCATAAATAAAGAAAATAGGATGTTTATACTCTGAAAAACATCCATTACTTTGAGTCCATTGAGGGACACAGTTCCTTCCCCTGTTTATTTTCTTGCTCTCGTACTACCTAGCTGCAAAACTAAAGCATGATGGTTGTAAGTGGGTTATCATTTGGTGACCAACAGCTTTCTTTGTTGCCAGTGTCCCTTTCTCCTGTAGGCAGGGTGGTATAACCCGACAGTCTAACAATTCTAAGAACTCCTGTGTCCCTCAATGGACTCCAAGAAAAGGATTTTATTCTAAGTATAAAAATCTTATAGTCCAATTCAAATTAGAACATTGATTTCAAATAAGGAGATTTTAAATATATTGCCAAGTGTATGCTCCGCTTTTCTGCTGTGCAGTGAGAGAAAATGGCAAGCGGCTTGTCCACATAAGAGATGCTGGTAGGAGGTGCATTTAGGTCTGTCTGCCTGCAAAGTGAACGTTTAATAAAAGATCAGGCCTTCAGTTTAGACCTTCAGATATTTTAGGTATACTACCTTAAAAAAAATGTTCAATCCAAACATAAGCAAGTTTGGAATTTAAAGAGGACCTGAACAGTGGAAGTTGTGCCCAATCGTTCCCCATTACTGATTTAATTATGCCTTATTCTGCACTGTGTCTCTATGTAGAGACAGCCGTCTTGGCAGGTGAGCAGTGCTTTGCTTGCTTATGTCAGGACTAGTGATGGGCTCTGGCGTGTTCGCAAGCGCCTCGTGCCGAGCCCGCCGGGAAGTTTTCAGCGCGCAGGGCCAATCACAGGCACTGAGACATTTCCCGATCTCTGCAGCTGCGGATCGGGAATATGTCTCAGTGCCTGTGATTGGCACGAGGCGCTAGCGAACACGCCCGAGCCCATCACTAGTCAGGACTGCCACTCTGATGATTGGTGGGAGAGTCAAAACCTAACCTGGTACAGTGCTCTGCTACTACAATCAAAACATAAGGAAATTAAAATGTATATCATGTAAACAGTGCGAAGTTACGCTTCCACTACATCTTGTTGAATGACAGTGGTCGCCTGTGGGCCACTGAAGCTTTATTTTTGTGTTTGCATATTCTACGTTGCAGCTACCTTGTGACATATACTTGCATGGTGTTAATAAGATGCTGCTTATTAACCGACTGCACAATAGCTTTTGTTCTTTGTCATCTACCTTCCACCTGTTCTCTCTAAGGTTGATTTAATAAAGATGTTGAAACTCTTCACTAAAAATAAGTGTGTGAATATTCACTTCAATTATCCAACCATGTGAAAAGCATCTTCATGTGATTGGATATTCATGCTTATTCATACATATTTGGTGTGAATATTCACACAGATTTTTAATAATGGTTTTTAACTTCTTTAATTAATCAGCCCATTTGTCTTACTGGTTGGCTGACTTCTAAAAGTGCTAAAAATAAATTCTCTTTTCCAGGCTGGCCGGTTATGTGGAAGCAATATCCTCACGGTTGGGTTTGCCAAGCCCTGACTTGTCACCTAAGCAAGCAGATATGTGGCAGACGCGTGTTAGTGCACACTTGGTAGGTGGAATGTGATCCTGTCCTTCCAATTTTGTGGCTAGATGTCCCTATAAGCCCACAATGAGGAGCATCTGGGCACAATGTATTGTCACATTATTATTCATTCTGAAATCACAGCCACGGTTTTTTAAGTGTGTGTGTGTATGTATGTATGTGTATGTATGTATGTATATATTTGAGATCAGTCCTGGGTACTCTTCATGCAGTTCATCTATGCAGTATTGTGCTGCAAGCCCTGGCATATGTGGTGACACATCAGTAACACCACCCTGTGTTCATGACAGCCCAGGCTCAAAAGAAGTAGGTCGAATGATGCTGGCTGTCATTCGGCCCACTAGAGGGGCCACAATGGACCTCGTAGTGGTGAGTCTGCTGGGGAACTGCATCAGAAAGGAGGTGTGCATTGCCCTGAGACTGCTGCTGGTTGCAGCCATCTTGGATGTAATGACAGTCTCCGGTGGCACTCTATAGTTTCCCCCTTTTGCTCTTCCCCTGTCTGCTACATAAAAGGTAATATAAGGAGGGGAAGAGGAGCTGGACCAGCACCAATTAGACATGCACAGAAGAAGAGAGGGTTATGATGTCACAGGAAGGCTGGGAAACTGGGGGTACTCGGGCTCAAAAAAAGTTTGCCATCACTGCCCTAGCAAAACCAGACCGGCGAGATCTCCTACTCGTTACGTCCCGTCCGGTGACTTGTCGGTAGGAGATTTGGACGAGATGGTGCTAGTGCGTGTACGCTAGCCGTGGCAGTTTCAGAATCTTTGCTGATTTCTCAAGTTCCCATCAGTGCGCCTGCGCGGCTTCACAATCCTCCGTAGTTGGCTGCCTTTGCTTTGCAATCGGAGAGTGTCTTCTGCTAACAGATTTCATGTTGGGCGCAGGCGCAGTAATGCCAATTGGAGAACGTGATACTGCTCTTGGGTGACTGCACAGGGGCACTGATGCGAATTGGAGAACTTGACGACGATTCTGACACTGCCTCTGCTGGCGCACCTGCAGTAGCGCCTTCTCATTGAAATCTCCTACTGGCAAGCCCCTGGATGTGACATAATGAGCTGATCTTGAAGTGTTGGCTGCTTTGATAGAACACCGGGATGGTCGGGCCTATTTTCAGGCGCAGGCCTGGAGCAGGAGCTATGTAAATCCGGACCTGGGCTCGTGTGCCAGTAGAGAGGGCCCCGCGTTCCTGCTGTGGCATGCGTGCCATAGGTTCAGAACCGCTGTGCTAGGGAATTGGCTTTAAAAGTTAAAAAAAATGTATGGAAAGGAGAAGTACTCCAAGTAAGCATTTAAAATCGTATTTGTCCTGTGCTTTTGGTTCAATTTTTTAAGAGGAGAGTCACTTTTAAATTATGACTACTACATAATGTTACCGATGATTGGGGTCCCACCTGTAAGAAGTTTTAGTCATTTACAGTTTATGGATTCTAAGCACTAATGATAATCTATACACATTGCTTGCAAAGCAAACAAAAACCTAATTATTACCCGTTCTAAGTTCCCTTATCCTAAAACATTTCAGCGCGTAGACAAGACTCCAAAAATTGATTTTGCCTTTTTTCAGAGTCAACTGCAGCTAAAATCAGAGCTGTAAATGCCATTTAAAAACCAAATGTAAATGCCAGCTGATTAATAGATCCTGAGGGACTGTGACGCAAATCAATATCTGAGGAAAACATAGTTATCCCTTTATCTACAGGCAGGCCTACATACTAAACAGTGACAAACTGTATATTATACACCAAGCATGTAATCCATACGGAACATGCCATTAGACTAATCTGTTGCACACAATGATAGCTTGTATTGTTTATGATCCGTGTTGCCAGCAGGCGTATAATAGATGTCAAGATTGTGCAGCAAGACTTGTTGTCGATCTGTTTCTCCTCAGAAGTATGCATTATTTACAGCGCTGGGACTCATGGAGGAAGCTGCAATGCCAGCACATTAGTGTTCTGTCCTGGGATGTGAGGACACTGATGGGATGTAAGAGCAAGTATAACATATTCACTGCTGGAACTGGAGGCCCATGGGTATTGGTGGTGGTAGTGGTCTACTTATCAGCACTGAGCATTGGATACAAGTATTTGTGTCCCAGAGTTCTGAACAAATAAAACACACATGCTGTATGTATACATTCTGTGTGTTTACCGTTTAAATAAAAAAGGGAGTGCATGATGGATTAATACATATTACATTATGTTCAGGAATGGAATAAAACATTTTCTATTTTTTTTTTTTCAAACAAACTTTATTCAGTTTTTTGGCTACCCCCCTGGTCATTGCTGTCATGACCATTTGCCAGGTGCATGTTCTGGACTCATCTGATGTCTATTTCAGACATAAGGTCCTTTAGGCGCCTCTTTGACGCAACTAGCCCCCAGTTGTATCCTTTTGTTTGTGAGCCTATTAGCGTTTTGTTTGCTGTGTTGCCCACCCCTCAGGTGGAATGCTTTGGGATGTCTCTAGAAATCCTTTTGACCCTTTCTGTCAATCAACGATAAAGGAAACAGGATTTTTGACTTACCATAAAATCCTTCTCATGGAGTAAGGAGCACAGGTCTAGGGCTGCAACAACTAATCGACTAAATCGATAATTATCTATGATGAGAATAGTTGGCAACTATTCTCATCATCGATTAGTTGGTTGGGGAAGGAGAGTTTTTTTTAATACCGGCACAACCAATCGTTTTGTTGAAAAAATAATTGAGCAACTAATCGATTATTAAAATAATCGTTGGCTGCAGTCCTACACAGGTCCTAACCCTCTTTCTTATTATCATTCCTACTACTGATTTTGCACAAAACTGAGGCATGATGGGAGTGGAAGTAGTTCTGCTGGTGTGCAAGTTTTTTGGGAGGTTTTTGCCATTGTCTAATTCTCAAGTCAAGATAACCCAGTTGCCTTCTAACCGTGTGCCCCTTGATGAACTCTAATATAAAAGGATTGTATGGCAAGTCAAATATCCTGTTTTTGGATTTACATACATTTTAATGGTAGGCCCATTTAAATCTCCAGTCGTACTTTGCCGGAAAAGCAGAAGGTACAGCGAAAACTTATATATGGAAGTTGTCCTGTGTAATTGTTTTTAATTGATCTCCAACAGCAATAGAAAGCCTCAGCCCCAGCATATGCTGCACAGAGAACCACTACTATGCAAATGAGCAACAGTCTCTCTGCCGCAGCCTGACACTCACCCAACTGGGTCACAGCTAGACTCCTCCAATCAGCAGGGAACGTGAGCTTTGCTGATCGGAGAGCTCTATCTGTGACTCTGCGGAAGGGGGAGGGGGGAATAAATGTGCTGGACTTCTGCAGTGAGACCACTGCTCAGTTAAAAACTGCTGAACTAAAAATGCGTTTAACATGACTTTTAACCATAATCTTAATGCATATGGGCTGCTGACCAAAAGATGAACCATAATGCAACCATTATGTAAACTACTTCTTTGTGTTTACCTGCAGGGCAAAGCAATAGGTGTGGCCATCGGCTGCATTTTAGGAATGTTCCCCTTGTTCTTCTTATCCGCGGAGGATGAGGAGAAAGCCAAGAAGAAGAAATAACCTTTTGTATTGCTCTAATACTGTACCTGAGCAGAGTCTGCAGCTGCCACATCTACCGCCATCGGAGAGGAAAAATTACTACGATTTCTACCCCGGGAACAAAACTCCATGCAGCATGATCCCCGACTCCTTCATGTACTCTTTTCTTAGTTTTCTACAGCGCACAACTGACAGACTCGACATACGTCATCTGTTTCCCAGCACTGGGAAGAAGTCAGAACTTACCCTGCAGCAGGTCCTCTTGTTTGTGGACCCACCGCTAGAAAGTGGCTAAGGTCCGCTCTCTGTGCTGTGACATCAGACACTAATGTGGGCGAGGGGGCTGGGACTTTCAACCTTTCAGCTGCCGAGGGGCTACAAGTCCCAGTATGTTATGGCATGCTAATTCTTGTAGTTCCTTATTAATTGGAGGGTTTTAGATTCCCCACGCCTGCACTCAACATTTACTACTTATACAAAGCAAAATGATGTATTAAAACTGAAATAAAATTATAGTAATAAATTGGTTCCCAGTTTTGGATGGCTGCTTGTGGGTTGGACCACCCGCTAGCTTTTATCTCTTGGGGGCTCTAGGATCTAGTTCCCTGCTCCTCCCACCCTCTGCAGCCACTACAAGGGATGTAATAACCTGTCCCCTTGGATTTTTTCTTTTTAGTAAGGACAGTGTAGATTGGGGTAGTGAGACAGTCAGGAGGTTGATAGATATCAGAAGGACAACACTACCATTGAAGCCCCTGATTGGCAAAAAAAAACTAGTGGCCAATGTATCCCATCAGAAGCTGCCTTTTTAGATGTAAATTCAGTTCAGTAAAACTACCCAGGAGATGTTTAAGCTCCAAGAAACACGAGATTGACATTTTGCTTAGTTTCCATCTTTGCATCCGATTAAATACAGGGTGCTGCAGGTCACGTGGTTGATATCATGCTGCGGAATGCAATTAAGAATGCAATTAAAATCTCTTGCGTAGTTTGGGCCTCAGCCTTTAATTTTTCTTATTGCTTCCATAAAACTAGAGAATATCAATGGCTTCCTTTTAATAAAACTCGTAATTTTTCCCTTTGCATGTTTTAAATGTTCTTGCACTCACTCTGGCTCCAGCATGACTTAAAGGAGAACTCTAACAATATGTCCCAATTTTAGTTTTGGGTGGAGGGTGTTTCGTATCCAACTTAGTGAATTCTTAGCACTGAAATTTCTTTCTTCGTTTTCTACATTTGATACACTGAAAATGCAAGTTTGCCTCAAAATGATGTTGCTCACTGACTTATCCCTTGGGATCCTGGCAATAAAGAGACCCTGTCACATTGCCTATTAAGGGAAAACTGACAAGGTTTTGGTAAAGCCCACCCACCTATTTATACTCACATTTCCAGAGATCCCCCACTACTCCTTCCTTGGCTGCAGGTGCAAGATGAGATTTCTTTGGAGCTCCAAACCGAGTTCTATCGTCAAGATGAGTGAAGGACTATATAATATGTAATCCTCTTTCAAGAAAGCTGTGCTGGGGGGAACTCAGATGCAGAAATCTTCAAAAGACCCTGTTGCCTTGCCCATGCCATGACTTGTGACCTTTACAGTGTTCCTCCTCTGGTCCTTCCTCTATCTTGGCTGCCACCAAAATACCAAATGTTAGAGCTTAGAGGGAGCAGGGACATCACCCCAATTCCATCATCTGACAGTGCTTGGTACTTCCTTTTGTAAATCGGCTCCTCTAATGACGTATCTCATGATTCAATGATCAGGCCTAGCAATTCGCTGCATCATGAGGGAGGGCATTAGAGGAGCTGATTACAGGATGTAACATTTGGTATTTTGGTGGTGGCGAAGATAGAGGAAGGAGCAGGGGAGGAACACTGTAAAGGTGGTTATGGCATGGGCAAGGCAACAGGGTCTTTTTTAAGATTTCTGCATCTTAAGTTCCCCCCCAGCACAGCTTTTTTTTTTTTTTTAATGGGGATTACATATTCTTTAGTCCTTCACTCATCTTGATGATGGAACTTTGGTTTGGAGCACCAAAGAAATCTCATTGCATCAAGCGTAATCTGTGGCTGACTCGGTGTGCCAAATTTCACTGGTGTCTGAAATGTCAATTTTTGTTGCACATCCCCCTCGCGGTTTTTGGACAATCCAATGTCCTTATATTTCTCCACCCAAAACCAATCATTGGCTATGTTTATAATTCCCTTTAAGTGAAACCAGCTCTGCTTTGCAATGTTATCCTGTTCACGCCTTAGTTTTTGGAGAGAAACTACAAAGTATAACTGTTTTCCAGTGTAAAATATTGACCTGTTTTGTTTTTTTCTTTTCTTTGGGTAATAAGATAAAAAGAAAATGTATTTCCATGTTTAAAAAAATGAGAATTGTATTTGCTTTTATCACAGCACAAGTTTAAGTAGGTGTTAAATATGAAGGTGTAGTAATAGCACATATATAATTTTATATTGTGAAAGAAAGTATTTAAATGGATATTGGAAGCAATTTTTGGTGCTTTATAGACAATAAAAGTTATGTCATAGACTGTCTAGAAGATTACTATATAATGTAATAGTCATCCCTACCTGGAAGAGAACTTGTCATGACTGGGCTAATGCAAGAATTAGAATGTACACTCTTAGAGGAACTGGACTGTGGAGACTGTGCCCAACAAAAGGCAGGCAGATGACAAAAGACTAGTCACCAGTATTGCCCGGGGTCTCCCTGCAGCTGATCTTTTCCCCATTACTTACTATACCTTGTTCTTTACTGTGTGGTGGTGGCGGTGGTCATCTTGATAGGGGCAGGGCTTTGCTTACTGATAGCTCTGTGCCTCCAGCAAGGAGAACAGTGAGCAGCACAGTAGTGACATCACCAAATCTCACCCCAGATTTCCTGAGACTAGCAGTCAGAGGCAGCAGTGAATTAGATCTCACACTGCAGATTTACAGCCTCTGTAGATACAGGAATGCCAAGGCACTCTCACATATCAGTATGGGCACTGCTATTTTTCAGGAGGCATTCCAGACAAAGGGTAGTTTGTTTTTTTCACGGTACTGTTTAGGCACAGTTTAAATGTCAACGTTTTCTCTAACGGAGCAAATCTTCACTTTTTGAGTTAATTTCCAATTTACTAAAACTGTAGAGGCTTTCTTATTAAAGGTTGGTATTCATCCACTTGTGTAGCTTTACATATACTCAAGCATTATTCTTCAGCTCAAGTTTCAAGTGATGGGTCAGCCATCAACACAAGTCTGGTGGTTGTAGTCGTGTCACATATCTGGGCTCATATGCTGCCTCCCAACCCTTGAACGTGTGTAACAGAGTCAAAGTAACACACGGGCAGTTATACACACTCAGGAGCAGGGTTGAACAGTGATTTTGGTCAAATTGACGAAAAGTTGGCCTCTCGTTTTCACAATTCTTAGGCAATATTTTGTTGAGAAAATAAATCTATCTCACAAGCTAACCACCTCTACCTAACTTATTTGGTCACAAGAACCACCTAAATGCACTCCTCTACATGTGTCTCTACAACACATCATCCCAACCTCTTATTCAAACTCACTAAGGCTGGGTTCACACCTAGGCGTATTACGCATGCACGTCTGTCGCGCGACCGTCACGCGTTTTTTTTACCGCGATTCGCGGTAAAAAAATTGCGCGACCGTCGCGCGATTCCGCAGGCTACTTGGCTGTATCCCAGTGACACCGAGTATTTGTGCGAGTACTCGTACTCGCCCAAATGCTCCGATGCCTAGCCCGATACTTCCTGTATCAGGAAGCCGGGCAGTACGTCATTATACGTTGCCCGGTTTCCTGATTGGCTGGGAAGCAGCTCCATGCTCTCTCGTCACTTATGATGAGAGAGCATGGAGCCGACTTCCCGGCCAATCAGGAAGCCGGGCGCTGCGTAATGACGCAGCACCCGGCATTCTGATTGGCCAGGAAGCCTGCTTCACGCTCCCTCGTCATCTCATGACGAGGGAGCATGGAGCCGGCCAATCAGAAAGCAGGGCGCCGCGTCATTACACGGTGCCCGGCTTCAATGATTGGCCAGCAAGACGGCTCCGGCTGGGTACCGGAGGAAGGACCCTCCTGGCTGGAGGGGTGACAGGCAGGACATGCCGAGGTAAGAGGGGACAGAGATCCGCACTGCAGAGTCGTGCTGGATATTACTATTATTATGGGGATTCGTATGGGACGGCTTTCTTGTTAATCTGGAAGCCAAGCGGCGAGTCATTACACGCCACCTGGCTTCTTGAATGGGACTAACGGTACTCGGTAATTGGTATTGGCGAGTACCGAAAAAAATATTTATTTGTACTCGGTACCAAAATACTGGTATCGGTGCATCCCTAGTCATTTTTGTTTTAGCAAATTTCATTTAGGCTGTGCCACATTAGACTAATTTCCATGGAGATTGTATTTTTGCGGATAAATCTATTTTGCCTGTAATCACTGAAATCAGGCAACTTTCATGGCCGCTACTGTCACCTATCCTCTTACACTCAAGCATCTGGCTCAGGCTAAATAACAGGAAACAAACATCTTTTATTAGGAAGAGTGCTCACTTGCAATCATTTAAGATGGAATATTCAAATTCTTGCATAAACCCAATTGTGACTGGTTTTCTTTAAACAAAAAGCAGGAAAAACCTCAAAATGAGGAGTAAAAAAAAATGTCTGAAGCCAAGCTGCTATGTATTGCTGCCAGCTGAAGCACCCTGATTGGTGCTGTTACAAATCACACTTTGGCACTGTACCCACCTTCCCAACTCCTTCCTTGACCCCCAGCCAGAGTCGGCAGACAGTGGGGCCATATGTGAATTGCAGGAGCAGGTATTTCTGCAAAAGTAAGACACTAGCGGTAGGTGCACAAGGTTTTTTTTTTTTTTTATTTACTAACTTCACTATAAGGAGGGTCTGTGGCACTTGAAACTGCATTAAAAAGTTTGGGCACCTCAGTTTAACTATATGTTTTTTGTTGATTTTGAAGCTAAATGTTAGCACAGGGAACACAGGCAAATTGGACCTGTATCTTGCCTGTGCAAGGCACATGGTATTACAGGGACAACAAAGTGCCTGATGGCTTCCCTGCTCCAATGGTCCACTGTGTGAGCCCCTTGAAATTCTGACAGTACGTCCAGTGCCTCCATTATGACCTTTGCGACAGCTGGTATCGGTCATTGGTGATGACATAAGAGCAAGCTGGCCATTTTTAGAAATGGGTGGACCAGGGGCAATATATCACAGGTCCTGCTTAATACCATTCACCAGACCTCCCAAAAATGCAGGGTTTTGGGTATATAGTTCACTATGCATGTCCCACTGTCCTTCGTTGTAATTGGCATACATCACTATGTTGGTGGAGTTTATAAGGACGTGTCCCACTTTGTCAATTACTGCAACAGGACATAGGCAGGGCAATCTAAACTCCTAAAATCCAAGTCTGTTGAGGACTTTGTGTCCCCCGTCCCCCTGCAATTGGGTGGGTCTAAAGAATCTGCCCCATTTTTATTATGGTTAAAACTGCCCTGGTAGCACCCTTGGGAAAAATGAGTCAGATCTAGGTCCTTCCTAGGAGCTTTCCCTAGTACATGTTGAGATTTGAAGTTCTTTAGAAGCCTGTACTTAAAGGATTGTATTATAATAGCAGCCAGTGGATACTGACACTTGGAGAAAGAGCCTCTAGCTGACAGGGCATGCTCAGGCCAGTATGGTATGTAGAACCCAACAACCATAAGGGACTGTTCAGGGCTTGAATAAGCTCTGATAGGCCATGCTTGGGTTATTTAGCCGGACAGGTAAAAATTGGTGGTTGACCCGATCTACTTTAAATTATTTTTGGCTCCCATATTGCTGGTGAAGATGTCTCTTACATTTCTCCTTACTATCAATATGGTTCATGATCAAGCAAGAAAATGTTACTGCATATTCCCTTAAAACCACCCAAAATGCTCTGGGAGCCTCCATCCTGGGCACTGAATCCAGATGGTGTAAGCCTTGACTTTTCTGCCTCAGACATGAGCCCTGCCATTTACCAATACCATACCATGACCTAATTTCTAGAAGGGACGTATCCTGGACAACCATCCACCATCTGAATGTACTCGATCAATCATAAAGGAAGGAAGGGATGAACCACTGCATTGCAGTTACAATAGTTGAGGTTTGCCTTATATAGAAATATAACCCAATATAGATTAACCATCCGACCGGTAAAACTGACGTCTTCCTGGAGTCCTCGCCATCTTATCAGTGTGACTGTATCTGCTTCGGAGGGCTCCTTATTTTCTGCGATCTACAGCCTCAATAGAGCAAAGTTCTGTGTTCAGCAATTCTGTCTTGTTAGTTGGGGAATTATTTTCTTTTGTTAGACTGACTCCTTTCTTTGTTTTTATTAAATGTATATATGAACAGTTGTCCTGAGAAAATATAACGGATTTACCTTGTACTTGCACTGTGTCTTCCTTTGTGTTTCATTCTAAGGTAAATGAAAACCATAGCATAGATTCTTGTTTGTATCTGATGTATGTGCTAAGTAGATGACTGAATTTCCTCCAACACTAGTTTTGGAAGGAGTGGTAAGGAGTTAGAACAGTTTAGATCAACTTACACCATATAGGGAGCCTCAAGTGCAGCCCCTGACCTCACCAGAGGGCCAGATATAATGTTAATTGAATGTAGTGCTACAGAAAACTGTTGCGCACTGCAGTCCTGCAACTTGAGATGGTTTGCAGGGGTGCCGATTAGGTAGATGGTGATCTACCAGTAGCTCTCAAAGCTGATGCTGGTAGATCACGAAGGTTGTGAATGGCGGCCCCTTTATTCTATTTTGGTATATTTATTTAGCTGTGCACACATGATTACCTATTAGCCTGAGTCTGCTGAGCCAAGCTCCCTGACAGCTTTCTGGTGGATACTGGTGGTTGAAGTGCTATGTATTACATCAAAGAATATTAGTTTACACAGCCTGTTGCACTACACTGTTTGCAAAATACAGCAAGGTGGGCCAGGAGAGAGAGCCAGGGAAGACAGCCAGGAAAGAGAGAGGAGAGACAGCCAAGAGAGCGAAGAAAGACAGCCAGGAGAGAAAACGAGGAATGACAGCCAGGAGATAGAGAGCGAGGAGAGACAGCCAGGAGGATGAGCAATGAGAAACAGCCAGGAAAGAGAGATTGAGGGAGGTTTTTTTTGTTGGTAGATCTCATGTAGCTCGACATTTGAAAAGTAGATCTTAACACAAAAAATTGTGGGCACCCCTGGTTTAGAGACTATGGGCATGCTGTAAGAGATGGTAAAAGACTAGGTGCATGCTATAAGATGGTTAGAGACTATGGGCAGGCTATAAGAGTTGGTTAGAGTCTATAGGATGCTATAGGAGATGATTAAGGATTATGCACATGCTATAAGGAAGGTTAGAGACTACAGGCATGCTATATGAGCTGGTTAGAGACTATGGACATGATATAACAATGGTTAGAGACTACAGACATGCCATAAGAGATGGCTAGAGACTATGGACATGC